CGAAAAGGTTGAAATGTATTTAATATACTACCTAACGAGTAAATAGGTTTAATTCATATCTGTGACGTAATTATATGATTCAAAGCAGTAGAAATTACTTCATTAGGAAATAGAAATTATTTTATACTTTTTAGTGCATTTCGAAGTCGGTGTATTTTTTTTCTGAAAATTATTTTATTACATTACAGTGATCTTTTAAAATTGTAGTTACTTTCGAGAAACTACTATAGAGAGTGATTTTGGAGACTGGGACAAAATAAAATAAAAAAATGTAAACTCATTTTATATTTAACGACTGTGTAATAATAATAGAGTTAGAAGTGTCTCGACAAATGTATTTCGCTTACAAAGGCTGTAGACTCCATAATCGTGTCAATCTCGATTCCATACGATAAAAGAAGGAGGCCCACGAATTGATTTCCTGTAGGATGCCAGATCTTCATCGCGTAATTAGGAAAGGAAGTTTCCTCTTCCTTCCTGCATGTGGGGCATAAGGATTCTTCCCTGGGTATCATGGGTGCCAGATGTTTCCTGTGATTCACTATGCTGTCACTTATCTACAAGTGTGCGTAAATGCGCTCTGCCTACGTAAATCATGATGTTACTTAGCTTTAGTGAAGATCTTGAGAAGGCTCATTCTATTATATTATCTACCTATCTCACTATTTTACTTCGTTATTAATCTACCAAATTATTATGCTTAAGAGACATTTTCTTCGGAATTTGCGACAAATACAACTTTAATTAGTTTAATAATATTATTGATATTTGTTAAATAGATAAGGTATATGACAAACCTATTATCACATAAATCTCAATTGTAGAATAAAAGATGGTTGAGGATATAAATGTATGTTAATTAGTCTGTTTCAAATCTTTGTTAATGGTTGAACGAGAACCTTAATTCAAAATGTCGTTATATCCAATAGGTACTGGATTTTTATGTATTTAGGATTACAAATAAAAAAAAAGCAGATTGACGACGTATTAAATAATTGTGTTTTCCTGTATAAGACAGTGTCAACTTATGTCTAATTTCAATTTATACTTATTCAAAAATGATCTGTTCTATTCCATCGGTTTAAATTATAAAATATGGAATTTTTTGTTTGAATATAATAATTTGATCACGCACTGTAAATAAATATGAACGTTTAATTTTGTTGGCAGTTGCGTTAGGCATAATTAACTGATAGTCACTGTAACGTTAAAACAAATTAAACAAATTGTAGGGTGTTATACTTTAGTTTTAACGGTACTCCGTTATAAAAATTGTAATCAGAATTAAACTCATAATTTCACTACACTAAAAATACGTGGAAGATTTGGCATATTTGAACTGTTGCATCACGCACATACGTGACACAATATTTAAAGTACAGGAATTAAATTAAGAGTTGACTAGACATCTATCTACATACATTTTTAATATTTTATTAATTTTATACAAGCACCTTAGTATTTTAGTACGTTATTCTTTTTCTATTTCATTGTTTCATTATTTTAGAGTCTACTACTCTGTTATTGTAACAGTTTATTGTTTTATTATTCTACTACTTTACCTTTAAATTGTTGCATTCGTTTATTAATTATGTACTTTATTCTTTCTCTATTTCACATCGTTACTTTTTCACTATTTTACTACTTTACTACTTTACTACTTTACTACTTTACTACTTTACTACTTTACTATTTTACTATTTTATTATAATGTTCCACTATTTCACTGTTTCACTATTCTTGTTGAGTCATCATTCTTCTTTTTCTTCTATTTTGTTTAACTATTCGGTCTCGAAATTCGTTCGCATATAGATTCTATGATCTTCAAATGTGGCCGTACTCGATAAAAGATGCAACCATACACATATTTGCTTATGTCATTCTTACGTTAACATAAGCAATGGCATAAATATATGAACTGTACATATCAATAATTATTATAAATGCACCCATCCGTATTTGTAAATCACATTTCATTTACTATCATTAAAAACAATAAATAAAGCGATTTAATGGTAAGAACTTTAAACATTCAAGTCAAAAATATTTCATTTATTACTTCATTAATTATTCCTATATTAAGGTGTCGATTAAAAAGTATCAAAGAGATTTTAAAAAGATAAGTCATGGAATACACATGTAATTCCGAAATCACAAATTTCGTAAGATAAAAATGCTTCAGTCCATATAACAGTTTATTAAAATTAACGAATATGGTACAATTACCCACGAAATTCCAATAAAGTAATAGTTTCTTTTGTATAATTAAAAAACACCGTAATAGTCTTTAAAACAGACATTGTACCAAATGTAATGTTTATTAATAATTATTTACTATTTATTTAATATTGCAATTGAGAATTGATTCACTTAGAAATTTGAATGGACAAATATTCAATAATTAATGTCATACGCAAAAACCTGTGCATGAGTCTTTTATCTTTTATATATTACTGGACAAGGACTAATGACTACAACATTCTAAATGTAAATCTGCTATCGGTGCATCCGGGTATTATTGCTGATTTCCATTATCAGCTTGCAAGTAAGTTGCAGTTCAGTTTCTAATAAATACACAACGAAGTCGGCACGGTTCTCGTTTTAGTATCGACGTACAAAACCCTTTAACAACTTTAGTGTTGTTTGAAAATTTGTTAAGATTTGTCATACATTTAACTGTGAATATTTAGTTTATCCTTAGTTTGTAAATTCATAGTATTTAGCTTTTAGTTGATTTATAGCCGATCCCTTGAAATTTTGTAAAACGTTCCGTGGCAGCAGTAAACTCATGAAGCCATAAAGACCCGCGATTCTTACCGTAGCTTTTTTCGTTCCTTTGTTTCGCATATGGTCACCAGGTACCATCATTTCTAACTTTCTAGTCCGTTATTTCTCGAATGTTTTACAACGGTCAGTGCGCTGCTTGACTTTATTACTTGCCACGGTCAAGGGCCAAAATTAGTCATACGTAGCGACTGGGAAAAACCCAAGAAGGGCGGAAACTTTCATCTCCCTTCCCGAATTTCCACAATTTTTGCAACCAATCAGAACATTCCTCCCCCGCCAGAAACATCCCTACCGAGGTTACGTCGGTTATAGTTTTAGGCATTTTAGACAGATAGAAAACGACATAGATACAAACTAGAACTTGAAACAAACAACATAGATACCAAATAGCATTAGAGCGCTGCTTGACTTTATTACTTGCCACGGTCAAGGGCCAAAATTAGTCATACGTAGCGACTGGGAAAAACCCAAGAAGGGCGGAAACTTTCATCTCCCTTCCCGAATTTCCACAATTTTTGCAACCAATCAGAACATTCCTCCCCCGCCAGAAACATCCCTACCGAGGTTACATCGGTTATAGTTTTAGGCATTTTAGACAGATAGAAAACGACATAGATACAAACTAGAACTTGAAACAAACAACATAGATACCAAATAGCATTAGAAATAAACTATCATAGTATTTTCAAACCTAGAAACTTAGTCATTTTTTCCCGAAGCATCAGGTGGTCCTTCGAGTATAGAACCTTGGTATTTTTGTTGGCACAATCGTGCATATCGCCTACAAAGTTCGAACGTCTTTACGGTGAACACGAGAAATTAACAAATTAATTATAAATTTTGGTTTATTTTATTAAAACAGAAGCTTAGAATAATTTCAAGGACAATTATATAACTGTGATGTGTTCCAAGTTGGACCATTCACGTAACTCGGAATAATATCAACTCACAACTTGTTAGTGTTTATGGGCATTCATTCAAAACCCAAATCATGTCTATACATCACTCACGTAACATTAAATAGATATGTTATGACTTTTCAAGAACGTCTCAACAACTTGACTTTCTAAACTATTGTCAGCAACCTTTCTAACAAACCAAAACGCTTGCCAATCATCGAAAGCCAATATATCTTTCCTTGAAGAAGATTCTTTCTTATATCCAAAAATGTACACCTCCTGCATACAGTATTTATGAAATCCATGTTAATACGGCGGGCCAATGTACTCGAGCTCAACCATTGAGCTTCGCAGTGTGTCCCAGTGCCGAAATCCATCGAAGGATCCAAATTACTTAAGTGCTTGGGTCACCTACATCTATCATTAACAATTACGATTACTTATTAAGGGCTAAAGGTGTCGCGATCCCATTCACTCAGTTGTGTCGCCAATCGGTGTTTTTACCAAATTACGTACTGACCCTGATTGGTTCTCTATGCTAGACACCTACACTCCTCGACCTTTCTCTCCAATATTTGTAGGACTTTCTTTTTGAGCAACTCTTTCAATTTTGATATGGATCTCTCTTGGATACCAATTCATTCGACGAAACATTGTCTCAAAGATTCGCATGATATCCATTATTACTCGACGACTACCGTCAAGACATGAGGATACATTTTGTAGAGACGAAGCCTTACAACTTTTGTTGACCTGATCGTTCATTGTCAATGTCCGAAAGCCACCATACGCACACAATCTAACTTCTTATCACACTCACAATTCGAACACGACATTGGATTTGTGGGGCGAAGCTTTACAACCTTTGTCGACCTAATCGGCCATTGTGAAGGTTTCACTACAATCATTTGCTCGTAGCCTTTTTTCCTATTAAATACCCAAATCAATCAACTCCATACCACATTCAAGTCATCCAACTGAAACGCAATCAGTTTTACAGACTTAATTCATCATATAATATTCACCATTCTAATGAGTAGTGGTGACGCATTAGGATATTTGTGGGACGAAGATTTACGACCTTCGTCTACCTAATCGACCATCGTAAGGGTTCCTCCATGACCCGGCGTTCATAAACATGATGCATCAGAAGATGAAGCTGGTAGGCAGTAATAACAAAATATAAATACATTTTTGGGTAATAATACCACTGCAATAAAATTCTTATTTGCAAAGAATTTTATTACTTTTATTGTGTTTATAGAAGTAAGACCCATAAGAATTGACAATAAAAGAAGGAACTTGGAGGCAAATGTAAAGACACTTAGGACTACGATGATCCACAGACATTAAAAAAGGAAACTGAACATTTAAAATATTATTTGTTTAATGAACGATTGAAATAATTCATTAATGTTGAAAGTGAAGTGAGTTCATTTGGATATAATGAAACCTTTATTTGTTTTAGCTAGTACTTTAAACATTATTAGATAATACAAATACATTATTTACCACCACAAAATACAAGAAACTTGTGTATTAATGCTGAATAATATTTTTTAATTTATTAAAATGTAAATCCTTAAATATCTCGTAATAATATAAAATGGACTTGTTCCACTTTGAAAGTAAAGTATTTTGACTTATTTGGTTTCATTTTATTTATAAAATAGAAGGAGTACATCAAAATTTAGTTCACTTTTATGTCAATCAATGTTGTCACAGTGATGAAGCTTGTAGCCTGTAAATAAAGTTTGTAAATGGTAACCCATCTACTTCGAGTATCTTGAATATCGTCCTTCTTTTTTATGATACGAACAAATATTATGAGAAAACATTATTTTGTTCGAAGTAGAAAATATTGTGAAAATTAAAAAATTTTCTGAAGTTCAATGTTCAGAGATTCTGTACGAAATCACCGACAATTTTTTAAACGAGACAACATATTTTCATTACCACTGCACGATAACTGAAATCAAAACGAATCTAATGATTTATAATACTAATACTACCTTCACGTGACTTTGAATAAATAAGATTCCTCGCAACTCAACAATTGATAGGAAAAATGGAAGAACTGGTAGAAGGATCAACAGAGGACTTCATTCTAGTTAGGATTTTATTTCAGTAAGTGATTAAAATCTGCACGTTGGCAATACTTTGTACCTTGAACTTTTTATCTCTGAATTGCGATTAAATCAGTAGTTTACAGCGACATGAGAAAATGTGAAAGAACGTATTAAAACCTCTTATACTAATATGAATTAACAAGTTATATGGAAATGTTCTGAATTCATTCAGTAATTTTTCAAATATTCCTATTCAAACTTCTGAACATCATTTTGAGCACTTGTTACAACTAATGGATGTGTGGACAAGGTGTCTCACGCGAACTCGAATGTGCGAGTATATTTAAAGTTTAGAGTACCTACCGCAAACATATGCATTGATAGAGCAAGAATGAGATGTTTTAAAGTCATCCCAAACGATGAAACGCGTTTTAAACTATCGAAAACGGTACCAAACACGATTATTGTTGATTTCACTACGACTGACGTCAATGACGGCGAAATATTGTTGTCGTTTCGTGGCAGTCTCGCGATGAATGATTGCCCGTCACGACTAGCAACGCGGATTGAATTTCTCGGCTGAGGGTGTAAATCTCAGCCTATCTTTTGAGATTCGTTACTTAATCGCGACGCGTTAATTTCAAAATTAATCGAAATTAATTAGTTCTAAAGTTGGTCGCACGTTGCCAGTTTTTTTAGTTTGAACAGTTGCGAATGAACGAAAATGATAAAGAGTCATCAAGTTCGAACAATGGCTTTCCGGTAACTTTCTTACGAGAGAATTCTATTTCGAATATAAGTCCCGTACGATGGACTCTACTAATGAGAACGCTTGTTTAATTTTTCGATATCGACGTTGATTTTGATCTATTCGCTCGTTGTCGTCTTAACTCCTACGAAGACGACGGAGTCGGAGATCGTACGCTGGTTGGATTTAACATTTTTTCCTAAATTCCAATCAACGTGTCTCCTTGACGATGGGCCCACTCTTCATAGCTCCCTTACAGCGTCTTTATCTAAGAAGGGTGGGAGGCCCAGAAAGTTGGCGGGCAGACCCCGGAAGTCCGGCAATGCCGCGATTTTTTCTTCTAGGTAAATTCGGACCATAAATTATCGTTAGGTCCGTACGTGACAGTTTCTAAAATACCCTTCGGAAAAACCGTGTTTATGATCGAAAAGTGGCCGTTGAGCATGAAGCGAAAATTAACTCTAAATTTATGGCAAGGATATGTAGTAAAATTAGGAACTCAAAAAACCCCGAAATATTTTAGCTCAAAAACGGCTGTCGAACAGACCAATCATAAATAAACTATCGAAATCCTAACCTCCGATGTATCGTCGTACATAACAGTTGTCAACGATGAACTACAAAGCGGAACGCGGTTCCAGTCGATTACATGATATATCAAAGATTGTTAATTGCTCGTGTTCACCGTAAAGATGTTCGAACTTGTAGGCGTTATGCACGATTGTGCCAACAAAAAAACTAAGGTTCTAATACTCGAAGGACCACCCGATACTTCGGGAAAAAATGACTAACAAGGAAAGACACGCAAGTGTCCCCCTCCGATTTTGATGAAACTTCGTAGGTTTGTTAAGCAGGCAAAAATAAGGGACACGTATTTTTTTTTATCGGCTGAGACGCGGGTTTAAGGGGTGAAACGAGCCCTTAAAGTTTCGACCCCTTTTGGCTATCTCGAAAACCATACGAGATACATTAAAACTTCTAATAGAAAAGTTGTATGGTTTCTTGCGTATAATAACAGCATGTTAATGAATTTTGCAAAATACAATTTGTTTATAACAAAAAA